AAAAATCTCAACGTAGTTGCATCAACTACTGGGGAATAAGTTTCTTCATAATCTATCCCCGGGATTTGAGAAAAACCTTGGGCAACGAGGCGGGCTTTATATCTCACAATTTCATTTTTCTCATTGCGCTTACGCACAAAAACCCATTTGAAACCAACTGGTTTCACGCCTTTTGGCGTAGGAACTATAGGCCCAAAAACACTTCGTTTTTCAAGTGATTTCAATTCTGCCTGAATTGCTTCGTTCCATTTTGGCCAATCATGTCTACGTCGACATTCATCAACTGAAGTTGGCTCGATGTCATCATTTTCATCCATGATGTTTGTGGCAATGGCATATGCGAATATATCATCAACATGAACATCTTTTCTGTTCCATTGCAATCCCGTAGAAACGTAATTTATTGAGATCTCATAATTATCAACGTTTCTATCTTCATCTGAATTATTCGCATCTTCAGAGATTGTTAAATCCTCATTTGAAACAAATTGTTCGTTGATATTATTTTTTATGTCAACATGCTCAGTTTGTTCATTTTCTTTCTTTGAAGAATGAACGTCTTTTGTTTCAAACATTGTCTCTTGCCTTTTAAGTTTTCTTGGTTTCACATCTTTTGAACCAAGTGGTCTGCCACGCTTTTTGCGTATTGAAGACTCATTTGCAAGAGTTTTTTCATTTTTCTCTGAAGGAATTTCAATTCTGGCAGGAGCATTCATAGCAGGAATATGTGACTTTGTCACTTTCTTTGAATCCGTGAATGCATCAGGCAATTGATTTGCAACATTTTGTAAATGAATTATCTTTTGCACTTCTTGTTCGCATGCATTTGTTCTTGCATCAAGAAAAGATAATCTTGTTGCATTCCATGTAATCTCTTTTGTACATGGGTCCTTTTTCTCATTTTCTCCCCCTAAGGCTCGGAATACTGTCTCATCGAAATGACAGTCAGCAAACCGAGCTGTGAATAAATCACCAGTCATTGGCTCAAGATATTTTATAATTGAGGGAGAATCAAAGCCAACATAAATTCCCAGCCTTCTTTGAGGACCCATTTTTGTACGATGTGGTGGAGCAATTGGTACATATACGGCACATCCAAATATTTGGTTCTTTTCCCGTTACCAATTGCAATGGGAAAAAAAATATGATTTGCAGTAGGCCTTAGCCGAATTAAATTTGCAGCATGCAATACAGCATGTCCCCAAACAGATGCAGGTAAACTGGATTTCATCAATAATGGTCTAGCAATTAATTGTAATCGCTTTATTAAAGACTCAGCAAGACCATTTTGAGTGTGCACATGAGCAACTGGATGCTCCACATCAATCACAATAGACATGCAATAGTCATTAAATGATTGAGATGTAAATTCTCCGGCATTATCAAGTCGGATTTTCTTTATTGAATAATCCGGAAATTGAGCTCTCAAACGTATGATTTGAGCAAGGAGTTTTGCATTTGCAAAATTTCTTGTAGATAAAAGACTAACATGTGACCAACGTGTTGATGCGTCAATCAACATCATAAAATAACGAAATGGTCCACATGCTGGGGCAATTGGCCCACAAATATCTCCTTGAATTCTTTCTAAAAATGCAGGAGATTCACCTCCAATTTTATTTAGAGATGACTTAACAATCATTTTTCCAAGAGAGCAGGCAATACATGGAAAATCAATTGATCTTGGAATCCTTATATTTTTCAATGGATGTCCAAGTGAATTTTGAACTATTTTGTGCATCATTACACTGCCAGGATGACCCAAACGGTCATGCCACAAAATGAATATTTTATGGTCATCTAATTTTTTAGAGACAACATTCACTTCAACGGGACTAATGTGAGTATAATATAGCCCCGAGGAATACGCTCGCATCTTTTCACAAAGAATTTTATTGCCAGATTTGGTTGTCGTTAGACACAAGTATTCCTTTTGATTTTCTGTCATGGTTTCAATGTGATAACCATTTTGACGCATATCTTTAAAGCTCAATAAATTCCTTCGGGATTTGCTGGAATATAATGCGTCTTTGATAATTAATTTTGTTCCTTGGGGAAGGATTAAACAAGCTATTCCAGACCCTTCAATGAGCTTCGCAACACCAGAGATTGTATTGACATTAGTTTCCATCAATGTCATTTGAGAAAAATATTCTTTGTTTCTCAAAATGGTGTGCGTTGTGGCACTGTCAATTAGACATTGTTCTTTGCCACTGGAGCCATAAGCAGTTATCTCCATATCTTGAATACAAATAAATATATAAATAAATATAAGTTCAAGATAAT